GCGAGTTCCCAGCGCTGCGGGCAGCGCGGCCGCAAGTGCAGCAATTGCCAGGGGTTCTTCGGGAACGCGCAGCCTGAAAGACCGCTGCGGCTCTCGTAGGGCGGCCGCCTTCTGAACAGGCGTGACAAGACCTTGGAAGCGTTGCTGTGCTAGCCATACTTTTAGCTCATGTAGGAACGCCTGAAAAGCGAAATCACTAACGTTGTGGAACACCACTAATATTCATGAGCCAAAAATCCAACTAAAATTACCATGCAGAACGGTCAGGAGATTGCTTTGCTGTTGCTAGTAAGCACTTTGAATGTAAAGACGTTCCTTGGTTAAACCTCTCTGGCTTGTAATATAGCATTTAATTACCTTACGCAATCAAAACCATGCTTCTTTATAGGTATGTGTGTGTATATATGTATATATCTGATAGAGGTATATGCAACAGTAAATGCAAAGACAGTATTAAATGAAAAACCATACATTTCAGTCTGCTCACGTGCAGGATCCGGTCTGGAGAGAAGCCCCAGGGTCTGGTACCAGGATGGCTGGGCATCAGGGGCGTGTACCCCGAGGAGGAGGGTGAGCGCCGGCGGTCTGTGCTGCCCAGCCCCTTCACTGGGAGCTCACGAGCATGTGGGGTTCCCTGTGTCAGCATAGTGCTCCCCCTCTCCCACCCACACCGCCAGGCAAGCCCTGTAAAAGAGAGACAGGATTTGATGCGCGTACCCATGTCCCAGCAGGCACAAACAGGCCCAGGAGATGACGAGTCGTGGGCTGTGGAGTCACTACCCACCTTAGGTATTCCCAGCTGGTGGGATCACTTATAATTTCCAAATAAGACTAAAATTTTACTTGAAGTTTGAGCTCCCTACCCATGGGCTAGCGTGTACCAGCTCCCCATCCTGCCTCGACACGCTTCCCCCAGGCTTCTGCCTCCAAAAATTTAATTTTAAGCAAGCACACAAAGATGCACCATTTCATTTTCAGGCAATCAGACGCAGGGATTTATTTCACTTGTCAGTCTTGCCAGTGTGAGCGGAATGCAACGTAACGATACAACTTTCAGGCCAGTAGTTTGGATAGGATATGAATTAATTGGTGGTTCAGCTTTGTTTTGAACACCTTGGGTTTGGGCATGTGTGATGGCGGGCATCAAGCCACGTGTGCGGCACCCCGAGGCCGGGCCCCGCGGAGGGCGTGCGGGGCGGCTAACCTCAACTGTCATGGAAACGCAAATCTCAAAAGACGGTATTTGCCAATCATAGAGTTTAAATAGTTTCTTTTAAAAAAAACCAACCAAACAAAAAACCAACCTTTTGCCAATCCTCTTCCCGGACAATTCCAGCAAAGATTCTGGAGGTGAATGCCATCACTGCATTGTGTAAGAATTTCCAGGGCCCCTGTAAGGCGTTTGCGGCAGCACCCCCAACCCAGCCACAGCCCTGCAGCACAGGAGGCTTCATCTCTGTCCCTCGGGGCCTTCGCCGTCTCTTTGCTGGCACGTGTGGCTTGGCCCCGGCCCCCCGGGCAGAACAAACGCTCTCATCGGTTCATTTTCTACTTGTGAGTACTGTATCCAGTTCAGAACCAACAGCTTACTTTATTAAAAATTTTACCATTTTATAAAAGACATGTTTAATTATGATGGAGATGGCTGTATTGTAATTAATATTTTGAGATAATTGTGATTTTGAGCTTAAATTATATACAGAAAATGGTCATTTTTGTATGTGTTAAAAGATTGCTATATTACAAATGACTAACTGTACTTTTCAGTTTAATTACAGTATTAATGTAAATAAAGCTGAATGAAGAAATATTTACTACTTTATTAACATAGATTGTGAATGTACTTAATGTTTTTTGCAGTATAAAGACTTACTGAACTTGAAAGCTGCTTCATTTTACGTGCAAAAAGGTACTTCGAAATTATATTTTAAATCTATTGATTCAGTGCAATCAATTATATTGTTAGTTAATTTGCACATGCAGGTTGTATCCTTCCAGTTTTATTTCATGTATGACACTTACCCGTAAGGTGCATATTGTGTTTAGAATGCATTTTGCAGATGCTTCTGTACATAAAACAAATACAGGGACTAAAACAATGCTGTGCAGAGTATAGCAGAGCCATTTTTCGGCTTTGGTGTACCTAACTTTTTCAGTATTTAAAAAAGTGTTTTGAATAACATTAAAAGTCTCTTTATTGTATAAATAATAAAAATGTCACCTTATTGTAATTAATTTTTGTCATCTTTTACTATCGGAAAGGGTCCGAGGTTTCCAAAAACACTGTTCTACAAGCTACGGGAAGCGAGACGGTCGTTACCGACCCATCTCTTTGAGACTGGCCCAGATGCCCGTAGCTACACCCTTCTCAGCAGCCACGTAACCCTTCAGAAACGTTTGCTGCCTCTGCCGGCAACCCGCGCAGCGTGCAAGGGAGAGGCTCCTGTTCGTTACCAGAGACGTCAGAGAGAGCCCTGACAGTTGAGCAGCTCCCCTTGTTCAGCCGTAGCTACCGGAGAGCCCTCAGATCGGGAAAGGGAGCGGCTGCAAGCTTGGCCGGGAGAGCTTGGCATCCGCTGCCTTTTCCGGACGGGTACAAATGCCGTGTGGAAGACGGGGCAACAAAAGAGAGGGTCGGGGGGGAGAGCAGCAGCAGTTCCATCATCCGGGTAACTACAGAACCACTCTTGACTTGTTCAGGCACCAACAAGCCGTCGTTCTCCCTGCACAAAGACGCTGTTGGGCAGTTTGAACAGGAAATGCCTTACCCCTTCCCCTGCCGGCCCCCCGCTCCCTCCCTTTCCCCAGCAGGGAAATACCAGGCGTGAGGTCTCAGGTGCCTCCGGCCAGTTCTGCTTCTCTAATGGGGCTCACGGTCCAGCACAGCTGCACGTAAGCTACATCAGGCGCCAGCGCTCTTGCCGAAAGGTGCTCCCTAAATGTGAAGACCCTGAGGATGAGGAAATGCATTTTATATTAATTCTGGACACATTCAAAACCTGGGAAGTTTAACTTCAAACCACATTAAATTTCAACCGTGTTACAGAAAGGACAGGTGGCAAAAGGAAAACGCTCTCATTGCACATACTTTCCCTTACAAACACGTACCACAGAAAGGATGCCCGTTTGGCGTCAGCCTGGCAGCCTTCCCGCAGAGGCTGAATGGAAGATGGAGGCGTATTTCTGTTCCTAAAGCTTAGCAGGGATGTCTTTCACTTGAAAGCTTTTTCTCTATTTTAAATTTTTGACTGCAAAGCAGCGAGCAGGTTGCAGTTGGAAGCCGCAGGCATACACAGGGACAGCACGAAACCTCGTCTGCTGGCCACAGAGGACAGGGCAGGACTGGGAAGAAACAGACGACTCCCCTCAAGTACCCGAAGCGACGCAGTTACCCCGGCCAGGCCCTGCGCCCGGTCCCCCCTGCGCCCTCCAGCTCGGGCGCTGCCGTGGGCCCCGCACGTACCCTGCCCACAGCGCCTACGTGCTATGAACGAGATGGCGTTAAACCGTTAAACACCGAACCAGCCACCACGCAACACCCCACCCGCGGGAATCCACCCTGTGCGCCCTTCGATCCCATTTCCCGTGGTGGGCCCGGCGAGCAGCACCAAGCAGCCCTTCCTTTTCTATTATTAATACCCATGGCGCGTTACTGTTACTAATAATGGTAGCTCTGTCAGGGCGTGGAAGCAGGCTGAAATAAAAAATGAGAAGTATCTAAATGTTACAAGCAAGAAAAATTAATTTTAGCATATGCTTAAAAAAACCCCAAGCCATACATCCAACAGGAAACATCTACCATTCCAGTGCAGCTCCCAACATCACCCACCTTTTGCTCACTTCTGCACGAGCGGTGCTCGCAGGCTGCAGGACAGCCCCTGCCCTCTCCTCCCTCACCGCACGCCCTAAGGGTTCAAGCATTTTATCACGTACAGACCAGTAACCAGTTTTTTGAGGCAGCAGCAAAGAGAGACAAATACCTTACAGGAGGTTATAAAACCGGCATCCAAAAAATCAAAATGTTTACTTCTGCCTTTTGCTCAAATGCTTTGATGTTGACAATTCTTTTAAAAATTAGCTTAATTGTAGAAAAAACATTGTCACTATTACTGAAGGCATCTTTCAACAGCATTCTTTATTACAAAAAGTGTAAACATACAGTGCGGTATTTTAAAATGCACTCTCGAAACATGCAGCCTTGAGGGGAAAATGTTTCACAGGCGCGTTCTTTCCTAACATGCAAACGGCAAACAGGATTAGAAATGCTTTATGGCACAGGCCAGGTGAGCAAGGAGCCGAGGGAGGAGGAGGAAGGGGGTAAAACCCTCCAGCACTCAGCCGGACAGGATAATACTTTGCTTGTACTTTACTCCCGAGTCTGCAAAGGACGCAGACTATCGTATCAAGTGGGAATTCGGCTTCTCAGGTACTCCAGCACCGCAGCTGTTCCTTTTGCCAAAATGGCTGCTCGGGGAGTGCGGAACGGATTTCCTTCTAGCAGAAGCGTCCTAGAACGAGAGAGACTGCGAGTTACTTGTAGAAAGGCTTTTCCTTGTACCAATACATTCATACATGGCATATGGGTTTTTTCATCTTCTGAAATTCCTAAGTAATTCCTCTTCTGTTCTACTAAAAATTTTCATTTCTGCTTCTCTAGTTCACACTAACTTATCTTCTTTAGAGACATCTGAATTTTAATTTGTGCTAATAAATTCGTGGTGGTATATTATTGTAGACACACAATACTTCCTCAGCAAGCTTCTGCTAGAAAAAATAGTGAGAAAGAATTTCTGAAACATAGAAATGGCACAATAAAAGGGGAAAACTACATTAAATCGTAACCCTCCACCTTCTAGCTTAGCTGCTAGCCCGCTGATCATCGGTACACAAGCCTCTGTGGAGGTTTCTGCTTGGGGGGGCCAAGGGGTGTTTTATTTTGCATTTTTGAAGTCCCCCTGGAAAGCACACTGCACCGGGGAAAACCACACGGACCAGTAATTTGTCATCTTTTACGAGACAGACTACTTACGCGTTACTGTCTTTTCCGAAGTATAGTACGTCCAGATATGCACAGCCGTGTCTCTATTCGATACCCTGAACGTCACCCTGTCTCTCTCACAGCAACACGAGTTAACGTGCGCAGGGAAGGAGCTCAGCGGATCAGCCGGCAAGCAGGGCTGTGGCTTGCTTCTCTACGGGTGCACCCGCAGTGCCCCTGTGTGCCAGCGTTACATTACACAAACCAACACAACCTTTCTGTTTTTTTTTTTAAATCATGAAACAACTCCCCCAATTTATGACAATATTGGGAAAATATGGAAGAAATGGCATTGTTTTACAAATGGTAAGAGAGATCCTTTTAGGGCACTGGGAACTACAAGCAAATATACTGCCAATTAGCACTTTTTTGTCTGACAAAACGTGCCCCGAAGGAATCAGTCAGAGTGTATTTTTCTAAAACAGTTCACCACTTAAAACACACACCTCAGAGTTTCACAGTTTCCAAGCTCTGGTGGCACCTGGAGGAGGTCGTTGTTCTGAAGGTCCAGTGTTCCAAGCTTGTCCATCTTCTTTAGCTGCAGAGGGTCAATGGCCCCAACCTGATTGTTGCTGAGCAGGATAGTCTCCAGTGCTGGGATGTGATAAAGGACGCTGGGAAATACTTTAAATCTTCAGGAAGGAAAAGGAGGCAAACCAATGCAAGTCAGAAATAGGACATTCAAAAAATCAGCAGCCTTTAAAATCAGACAGCACTTTAGCTGTGTTTATTTAAAGCAAATGTTTAAACAAGCTGCACTGAAAGGAGAAAGCATCCACTATTTCACCTTGCACGCAGAGTGACCGGAGCGCGCACAGCGACAGCTCAGCACCTCGAACAGGACTGCTGGCCAACCACGCTCGTTTGACGAGGCTGGCGTGTCTCACAGAACGTGACTCGCCAGTGTAAGGACAGGAGAACAGCAGCCAGCTGCTCTCTTGTGTACTTAAGAAACACCCTGCAGAGGCAGAGCAACGCCAGCGCCGTCGCTGCTGCGAGCTGCAGCAGCAATGGCAGACGCTCCGCAGGGACACCACTCGGCTGCATCCTGCCCACCACTCCCCTCATGTTCTTCCAGCGCTCAGAACTGCTGCATTATGGATGCCAAAGGGTGCTCCTGTTGGTGTCTGGTTTTGGATATATTGTTCACAAGATTGTTTGATCCCTTTTTTAACCGGTTGCTACCCTCTCTCCAAAACTTTTGTGGCAGAAAGTTCCAAAAATACACTACCCATTGTGTAAAGAAGTTTATTCACTTCATTGGTTTTAAGCCTCACAGCTAGCTGATCAAGTGCCTCCGCATTCTTACATCACAGGAAAATCATAATGAATTCAGCCCAGTTCTTTTTACTATTGTATATAAAAAAAATCTGAATAGTTGCTCACCTATTAAAAGAAAGATTTATTATTTGCAGTCTTGTCAGTGCCTCCATTTCCTCAGGTAAAGATGTCAAAGAATTATTCCTGTGTATCAAATGAAGACAACAATAATCACTAACTCCTAGGAAGTTTTAGTTAAGAATCCACAGAGACAGAATGTGCATTTTTATCAGTGCTAACATGCTGTCTTTAACCAATTAATTGCTTCACAAATAGGTCAAGACCATGCTCAAGTATGGATGCTTGCTAATGCAAGCCAGGTTCGCGTTCTCATTTCTGCCAGTAGGAGATTTAAAAGTCTGTCCTCTAAAGACTCTCGAGTATTTCAAAGCATCTAACACCTCCACAAACCCGCCTGGCAATCCAGCTCCTTGAGTTTCAGAGGAAAGCTGACGAAGACGCCCAGATCTTGGTGCCAAAGTGAATCAGCAGGAAACTCTAAACCTCTTAAAAATTCATTTTGCCTGCTGTGACAAACTCGTTTATGGCTACTGTTACCCTAGTGTTTCCCACAACTGGAAGCCATTCAGAAGCCTCTTAAATACAAGGAAGATGGGGGTTTGTAAGGACAAACAAGGTATGTCCTGAATGTGAGACAAAGAGCCATTACAGGAAAATAACTACAACTCACTAAAAGATGCCCAGACTTAGACCTAAGTTCTTAATCATGGAGATATTCAACCTCATTCCCTCATCAGTCTCCTATTATCACCCGTTTCTTCAGCCTAAGCCTAACTCCTCCAGCAGCAGCACACACGTCGCTGCATCACAGCTCATCTGGTCCGATCCCCACAGCGGGTGGCCCAGGACCATGTCCAGACGGGTGCTGGGTTATCTCCAAGGGTGGAGACTCCACCACCCCCCTGGGCAACCCGTGCCAGCGCTCGGTCACCCTCGCACTGGAAAAGTTCAGAGGGACCCTCCTGCGTCTCCGTGTGTGCCCGCGGCCTCTGGTCCCGTCACTGGGCGCCACCGGGAGAGCCTGGCTCCCTCCGCTCAGCACCCTCCCCACAGGTGTTTGTATATGTGGATGAGACCCCCTGAGCCTGCTCTGCTCCCGGCTGAGCAGCCCCAGCTCCCTCAGCCTCTGCTCGCAGGAGAGATGCTCCCGTCCCTTCATCTTGGTGGCCCCTCACTGGACTCGTGGACTCTCTCCAGGCACAGGCAGATTACTTTAAACCAAAACAAAGTAAAACTGTCTCTGCAACTGTGCTCTGCTGCTCTTCATTTTGTGAAACACCGCAGGTAAGAAACGCCAGCGAGCTAATCCTGATGTCTAAACAAGTGCAATGAGCATTTTTCGGAAGTTAGAGAAGGTAAAATGGCAGTAACTAACCATCTGTTGCAAATGAAATACCTATAGACAGCTTCAGTTTCAGGCAGCACAACAAAGTTTGTACCTTCACCGTACTACTTCCCAGCTACCCTCCAGGATTGTTTGGTGTTGGGGTTTGCGGGTTTTTTGGGGAGGAAGAGGGGCCGTTTTTAAATACAACTTGACATCTCTGAGAACCTCTTTATGACTGAGGCAAGACCTTTCAACACAGCCAGTCTCAGAGCCTGTCCACTTGTTTCTTGTGGTTTTCTTTAACCAATGCCTATATCTAGGCCACTTGCTATTTCAGATCTGCTGGTCACTCAACTGTCACGGAGGCATTTGAGGAAATGAAAAATTATTTCAGTACTGCCATTCCACTGTAACAGATGGCTCCCTTAAAAAGGCATGAAAATAAGTTACCAAGAAAGGAAGTCCAACACACGTCACAAACCTGATATCCAAATGTGTTAATTTATGGAGCATGCAAAGCTCCAAGGAAATAGATGAGATTTTATTGAAGCCAAGGTTGACATCACAAACTGAGTCTTTCAGCTCCACAATCCTGAAACGCAATATGAATATACTTTTATTATGTAAGCTCATGTTTGTACTCTATTTTCCAAGTTATGTTTTGGTCCACAAATCGATGACACTCTATGTTTCCTGACATTTCAGAAACAATTTTGTGGAGTGAAAATAATGGAAACTTCCCCTGCAAAAGCTGCCTGTCTTGGAGTCTTACACCTGATGTAAAGACAAAGCTCAGAAGCACTTTTTTCTTTTTAATTATATTAAGATGTTTTGGTGAAAAATGTTTAAAAGTTCAAAAAGTTAGTTGTTGAATCCCTGTAACAGAATCTCTGGTTTAGCCCTAAAAACAAAAAGGTAGTTAAATGAGAAAATACTCATCTCTCCTATCCGGACTGCCACCGAATTCTCTGGCTCTTAGCAGCTGCACACCTGCACCTTCCTCCCCAGTGAGTGCAACAGCCTCTAATACAGTGAGAAAGCATGGGAGGCACCGGCATTCTCTCACTGAATTGATCTTCTATCAATTATACC